CTCAGCAAGAAAGGAGGGAGGGAAGGAAGGAAGAAGGCAAGCAGTCGACCAAGCAGGCAGGCAGGCAGGAAAGGAGGTAACCAGGAGAGAGGGGAAAACACGCCATCGGTCAATCCCCCCACCCCCCACACACATGCACGAAACCTCATCCATCCATACCAAACAAGGTGCGATAAGTACGCAAACACCCAGCCGGCCGCCACCCTCACAAATGCAACGAACTTGGCCCCCAACCCCCCCACCATGGACCGCCACACAGCCAGCCGCCATGACAACAGAACCGTAGTGGCCCGCATAATCACAAGGGAGCAAAACACGGTCCCAGATCCACCCACCAGCCCATCCATCCCTCCAGGTATTATGCTAGACCTGGACCGAGACGGGTGGCGAGACAGCTGAGGACCCTCCGCTGCCCCCCGAGGACCCGCCGCTGCCACTGCCGCCCGAGCCACTGCCGCCCGGCCCGCCCATTCTGCCCCCACTCCTCAGCTCGACCGGCGAACTTTCGATCGGCTTCCGTGCTCGATAGTGATCCACCTGACGGTCCTGGGAAAGCGCAGAGAAGAGACAGACAGACAGACAGACAGTGTGTGACGGTGTGGTGTGAGTGAGTATACGATGTGTACCTGGTTGATGGCAGCGGCCCGTTTTTGATGCCCGTGGTTGGGCCTGTGTCTTGGGGTGAGGACGGCCGATCCGGTGTCGTCATAGTCGTCGTCATCGAACAACTCACCCTCCTGGCCATGGTGCGGGTCGTGGTCCTCCTCCTCCACACACGGCTGCGGACACGGGCCGTTGCCGTTGGCGTATGGGTGCGTCCGGCCTCCAGCCACAGTGCCGTGAGACGTGGGCATGACGGTAGAAGAGCCCTCGGCCGTCTCGTTGTCGCTCCCGTCCGTGTGCTCCCTCTCTGCCTCGGCAGCGGCCTGCGCAGCCGCCTCCTGACTGATCTTGGTGGCGGGCGCCGTCCTGTGTCTGCGCCTGTAGGGGGATCCCTTCTTGCGCTGGCTTGGGTGCTGGTTGTCTTGGGGCTGATCAGGGGTGACTGTGCGTGGGGACGGGGCGAGGGTGACCCGGCGGGTGAGGGGGGCGCCTGTGGAGTCCTTGAGCTGCAGACCAGGGCAGTTGTGCTCGCCGTGGTCCTCCAGGATGGCCTTCATGAGCTCGCTGCTGATGTTGCGAGCTCGCTTGGCGGGATCGGTCTTGTGGCTGCAGCCATACATAAATGATGACAAACAACACACTTGAGGCCTCGTGTAGTTACGGGTCTCTCACTGACTGACCGTCTGTTTCTCCTCTGCCCAGCCATGGCAGCCGCCAGCACATTTGGGTCTCTAGCGGGCATCCCGCCGTCCTCTCCCTCCGCCGCCTTGCCGTCAATCTCGTTCTCGTTCCCATTACTGTTGTCGCCATTGGTCACCTCCCACTCGCCGCGGTTGCCGTTCATCAAATCCAGCACCGTCAGCTGCCGCCGCCGTGGCTCGTGGGGGCGGGGCGGGTCGACGTACTGCACCGAGTCGTCAAACTGCAGCTTGTTGGTGACGGATGCGCGTCGGCGACCGTTGGACGGCGTGAGGATGGGTGGGGCGGGGGGGCGGGGGGCTGCACTCACGCGGAAATACGCCGACGTACGAAGCCCTGCATTCATCCACGCATGGACAGAGAGCGAGAGAGAATGGGGAGTTGTTGCATGTTGTCGTGTGTGGGTCTCTCGTCACCCACCTGTGTAAGGCGTCCTGTCCTCGAGTTTGGTGCCTGCGTCTCTTCTGAAGTTGCGGTGCTTTTTCATGATGGTGACGCCGGTGTCCTGGTCGATCTGGCGGTTGGCCGGTGGGTCCCGCCAGTCGAGCTTGAGGTACTTGACGCCCGTCTCCGGGTCGATGATTCCCTCGGTGGCCAGCCGCTGACGCACCGCCCCGATTGACGCGTACACGGAGACGGACGTGTGCAGCTGCTGCAACATGTAGTTGGCCTGCGCCCTCAGACCTGCAGACAGACACAATAAACATCCATCCATCCATCTATCTGGTGTTCTGTCTTACGTTGGTCCTCATCCGACTGTTCGCTGCCCGGCCTCTCCTCCCCATCGTCGCACATGGTGACCCCCGCCGGCGGCTGAGACCTCTTCACCTCTTGTTCCCGCCTGTCTGCCTCCTTCCGCCCATAGCTGCGGTTGAGCGGCGTGCGCGGCGGCTCGCGGCCCCTCTGCTTGACGACCATATTCCTGGGGGTGGGGAACGGGGGCGGCAGCCGCGAGCGGGAGGAACATGCGCTGTGTGACGACGACATGGACGACGACCCGCTCGGCGTCAGTGTCAGCTGCTGCTTGTCCCTGTTTGTTGTGTCGCCAGCTGACGGTTGGAAGCTCACTGCGTAGGGGTAGGGGTAGGCGTAGGCGTTGGTGTATGCGCTGTTGTATGTGTGTGGGGGGTTGCGGGTGGGGTTGGGGGGCTGCGTGAAGGGCGTCATGCCCGACCAGCCGTCGCTCTCGTCGCAGATCTCCATGACGCTCGGCGGCTCGTTGTCGAAGTCGACAATGGGCTGGCTCGGCTGCTCGCTCGACAGGCTGATCTCGCCACCTGCAGTGGTGGGCATGAAGGGCGGAGGAAGGTGCGGCAGGTCGGTCGAGCGGAACCACAGGTGGTCCAAAGCCAGGTCTGCAGACGCTCGCGTGTCGGGATCCCTGCACGAGCGACACGTGTGCAAACATTTTGGCTGGGTGGGCTGAGTGCGCCGCGGATGCGTACCGTTTGAGCATCCAGTGGAGCAGGTCCAGCGCCTGGGGCGACACCCCAGGAAAACGAGACGCACTCAGGTCAACCTCACACCTGTTGAAAACAAACACATACGCACGCACACATGGAAGGTGATCCGATCCATGAGGTGGATTGTATGCACACACATCCCACCCAAGTCATCTGTGGTTGATCGATCGACTGCCTGGCCTGGCTCTTGCCTTTGATTGATTGAGCGCACCTCGATCATCTCACCTGAGGTTTTGCTGGAGTATCTCCCTGGCTTCGTCGTCGCGCGAGGGCTCCACCCCGCCGGGCCGTCTGCGGCTGGCGAATGGCGGGGAGCCCTTGAGCATGATGTAGAATATAACCCCCGCACTGAAAATGTCAACCTTGGTCGTGTACGCCCGGTTCTCGAGGATCTCGGGCGCTGACAAACACATGCACGCAGCAGCAGGCACACAGAAGGGGATGAGCGTGGGTTTTTCTGTGCGTCTGTTTGTTTGTGAGGTGCCTACCAACGTATCCCGGCGACCCGCATCTCATGTTCATTTTGTTGTGGTTGTTCGTGTGGCAGGCCAGGCCGAAGTCGATGACCTTGACGCTCGAGCCGTCGCACTCATCCTCCAAGATCAAATTCTCAGTCTACGCAAACAAATAAGCCAGCGATCGAATGAATGATATGGGCGCGCCCTCTGTGTGTTACCTTGAGGTCTCTGTGGACGATGTTGAGCGAGTGGAGGCACTTGAGGGCCAGGAGGATCCGCCAGATGGCGACTCGCGCAACGTGTTCGGGGTAGGCGCCCCGCTCCTGGATGAAGTCGTACACCTCCCCGCCACGCAAATACTCCATCACCAGACACACATAGTTCTCTGACATCCACACACAGAGAGAGAGAGAGAGAGATGCGGGACAGTGACCTCTTCTTGTGTGCACGTGCACACCTTGTTCGTAAGCGCCGTATAGTTTGGCGATGTAGGGGTGGTCGATGCGCGAGAGTATGTTGATCTCGGCCTGGATATTGGAGCTATCCACATCCTTGGTCGGCACCGCCTTGACGATCTTCTCGTCCTCGGACGAGATCTCCTTGGCAACGTACACCTGCCAGTCGCACGCCCACACGCCCACACGCCCATGCATGCACACTCCTCCAACCAACCGATGAGAACAGAGCTCACCTTGCCGAATGAGCCTTCCCCGATATACTCGGTGAGCGAGTAGAGGTCCGTGAAGATCAGCTCGCGGCAGCCCGCCTTGACGAGGATGGCGTTCCACAGGTTGCGGTAGTCGTGGCGCTGAGCAGAAAACTCATAGATGCCGCCACGCGCATCCAAATTGAAGCAGGGCCTGCACACAGCAAAGGACAGACAGAGAGGCAGAACCGATCGTTTGTGAGGGTTTAGCGTGGATGCTGTCTGTCTGTCTGTCTGTCTGTCTGTTGGTTGTCTGTGCCCACCCTCTTTCTGTGAGGTTGTTGACGAAGCGCACGCCACACAGAGGGATGACAAACGACGGCTGGTCGTTCCTCTCAGACATCATGGTCACGTCATTGTCCTGCCTCTCACCCTCCCCACCACCACCAGCCGTCACACCACCCCGATAGCCGAAGAGCCCCCTCTGGAAAGCCCCTGCCGCCCCCTTGCTGGTGCCGCCTGACTGTCTGCTTCTCAGCAAGCTGTTGCTGTGCGGGTGTGCAAAGCAGAGCAGCGAGTACATGACCGAGTTGGGTTCCCGGTAGTCGGCCAGCGTTGCCTGGCTCCTCCGCAGCGTGTAGCCGTCATGCTCCTCGTAGTAGGCAAGCGCCACGTAGCGGGTCATCTCGGTCGACAGGGGCAGGTAGTAGCGGTAGCCACTCTCCACCATGCGAGGCAGGTTGCAGCCCTTGACGCTCCGCCACTCGGTCGACGAGCCGTCCAACCCCAGCCACGTGAGCAGGTCGGGCGCCAGCTGCAGCGGCTGCACGGGCTGCTGGGAGAGGCTTGAGATAGCCGGGGTGGCAGGGCCTGTGGTTATCTCGGGGTTGACATGGTGGGAGGGTGGAATGGGTCGGCCATTGTTGGGGTGGTGACGCACCTGTTGTGGGTGCCGCTGGTGGGCAGGGGGAGGACAACCAGCAGCCAGCTGCCGCTGATGCTGCTGGTGGCCGACGCGCATGGGATCTTTGCCTGGCTCTGTCTGTGCTGGCACAGTGGAAGGTGTAGATGGCCTGCAGGGTCTCTAAGCTCGCAAGCTCGCGGTGGGGGCGTCTCCGACTCGGAGAGGAACTTTCAAGGAAGGCCTGCAATGGCGTTGAAAGCTTCGATTATCATTTTCTGTGCTCGTCGTGGCCACCATCTCCGTTTGCGTCACGGCGGCCCGCTTCAAGAAAGACGCCAATCCGCTCGCAGGCAAGCCAAGCACCAGACCCGATTGCCAAATCATGTGCATGCTGATCAATGCAGACGGCAGCCTCACCAGCACGTCGGGCGCTCCGAAGACCTGGGACCCCTGCAGCTCGCCGTTTGCGGACGGTCAGTGTCGTTTTGAGAAACCTTGCGGCTATGCCGTCACGAGAAGCCGTGTGCGGTACGCATGCAAATGCACCGCCGAAACGGGCATTGCCAAATGCGAGTCGCCGGTACACAAGCACACTTGATACCTGATGCATGCTCGCTGAATCTCCGCGCATGCATCTGTCCACATATAGGAGCCCTACAAGAGCCAGCAACAGGAGGCTTACGAGAAGTGCCAGGCAGCATACAACGCCAATCAGAAGTGCTCGCCCTACACTTCGTGGATGAATCCCAAACCTACAACGATCGCTGGCGTCTTCACCAGCTGTGCGGAGGGATGCATCTGCAGGCAAATCGGCATGGACAGGGTGTGCGCGCCCAACGTTTGAGAGGCGCATCGAGCCTGGGGAAGACTGAGACAGACCCAAATTTCAATCGACCAGCAGACAGCAAAGAGAGAGAGATGATGTGCGATTTTTAGTGGGACAAGGAAGTTCCTGACACGCATCGACTCGACGGGCAGACCAGTAGCGGAATGAATGCGTGTGTGTGTCTGTCTTCTTTGGTCTGGCTTCGGCGTTTCTTTCTGTCTGCCTGCGGTGTCTGTCGTCTCGTCTCTGCCTGACATGTCAAGGTTCCTTTTGTCCGATAGAGGAAGGAAACGATGCATGCAAAGAATCAACGAAAGACGCGCAGATCCGGCACATGAAAAGATAAGGATAAGCCACGCTGCAAGACACTAACGAGACAGCAGGCAATGGTTAAACGGTATCAATTGGCTCTCTGCCAAAAGCGATGGAGAGGTCTCATCATTCTAGACACAAAGGATGTCGCTCTCGCTCGCAACCTATCACCCCTGCCTACTTATCCATCGCTGCCTACATCCCACGGCCCCGTCTATCGAGCCACCTCCCTCACCCGCTAGGTGTGCTGGCGGCACCGCCCACTTCTCAGGGCACTTGTGAATCGGCGTGACACCGCCAGCCCCATGGCCGTGAGCAACAGCTTCATCACTGGGAAGTTCGAGACTATGTTGATGGGGCAGGGGGGGGTCAGCTCCTCTGTGCTCATGTTGCTGCCGTCAATCAACTATCGTGGGCTTCGTCAGCTGCGGCCACAAAGGAAGACACACTCACTGCAGTGACACACACGACAGACAGACAGACAGACAGACAGACAGAGAGAGAGACGGACACAGGAAGAAAGAAAACAACCGACCCACTGGTAGACGCAATTAAGTGTCTCGCACTCGTGCGTTGATTGCACTTGCCGCATATATATTGCACCCTCCCTCCGTCCCTCCGGTGGCACATCAGGGGCGAAGGGAGGGCCAGGGCATGGATGCAGGGCGGCCAGGAGGGGGGCCGAGTGGGGGCGGCTGGGGAGGGGGGCCGCTTTGTTGCTCCTCTTCGCCCTCGAACGGCCTGGACATACATAGAACCAAAGAAAGAAAAGGACAGACCCACATGAATGAAGATGATCCTCACTGACTCACTGACTCACTCACTCACTCACAGGATTGTCAAAAGCTTGAACTCCATGAAGCCATCTTGGACACGGCTCATGCAGGTATCCAAGAGCGGCGCGGGCACGATGACTCGCCGCGTCTCATGTGAAGTCGCATGTCCATCAGGACCTCCCTCAGCCACGCGGTTGACACATGCTCATGGCTCCACGGCCCCCACACCCACCCGTACGTGTACAGGTCACGTAAATGACGCCTCACTCTGGTGCACTCGTCGACTTTGTCGGTCCCGTTAAAGCCATCATTCCAATGCGCAGCGGCAAATTCGACGTGCCGGTCCCACGTCGGTTTTTCCCCAGTGCCATTGTGCACGACTGGCTGATATACGCCGGATGGATAGAGAATGAAGCCCTCATGGGTTTCCCTGTAAGACCACCATGTCAAAAAGTAACACACCAAGTGAACAGAAAGGCTCATCCTGCCCGAGAGACCGACCGCTCAGAACCGTCCGGCAATCGCTTACTTACCGGGTGGCCACTAGCTTCATCTCGGCGAAATGCCCCACTCCTCCGCAGCGACTCGATCCCGACCTCACAGCGACATTTCGCACCTCATTGACCCGCATGTCAGTCAACATCTCTTGGACCCACTGAGGCAGAGTGGCCACACAAACATACTCCCCACGCCGGTCGACTATCTTGGTGCGGTTGCCCTCCGAGTCATAACACCACTCGATGTAGTCGTGAACGGTCGTCTGGTCTGGCGTGGGTTTTGGCCCTGATCCCTTCTCTAGCACTTGATAGAACGTTCCAGAAGGCGACCGAATGAACACATTGCTGGCGTTGTGGCCGTCGGCGCCTGTCACCTTGGCAGCAGCTGCTCCTGTGTGTGGCCCGTGAGACCCCGCAGATGACCTGACAACGCAGCGCAGCCAACCACGTGGAGAACGAAAAAATGCATTGGTCGGTCGTCTGTGTGTCCTCGGGTCTGCCACAAACCTACCCGTGATCGCGGTACAACATGACGGCCGCGGCATCCTCTCTCCGCACAGGCCGCAGCTCACCGTCAATCTTGACTGCATATCCACCATGGCCGTCGGCATATACGTCCAGCCAACCGACTGGACGGTCCTTCGTGTATGGGGCCCTGCACACACGCACGCAGACACACACGCACGTGCATCCCACTGTTCGGCTCGTGGGGTCCTCACCGAGTGCGGACGAGATCTGTCGCCGTTTCCGTTCTGTCTGTCCGCTCCCTCGTTGGAGCTGCTCTCAGCCTCTCTGTGTGTCTGTGGGCACCCTGCCAAGGCGCATGTGGCGCCAGGAAGGCTCCACCAGCGGCCCACGGCACCAACAGGATAACAAACAGCCACGGACATATCTCAACAGGGCATGTTGATGAACCAGGGCTCGCCGCTATACGGTTTCTTCTTTCTTTTCCGTTTCTCCTTTTCCTTCGTTTCTATTCTCTTCATCCGGCTACGACCGAGGTCGCCTTATCACACACCTATCTGCAGGCAGGCAGGCAGGCAGGCACACCGACACAGCACGGAAAATGAATGAACGAGTGGAATGGATGGCGTGTGCGAACCTAGCAGCGTCTTGTGTAAGTACGCTATGATCTTCCTGTCTGGCTTATTCTCATCTCCATGTACGTCTTGGTACCTGTTTGCTTGCGTGTGTCGATGCATTGCATGGCTGGTGTGCAGCAGTGTGGCTTAACGAGGGCCTGCATACCATCAGCACACACACACAGGTCGATTGCCTTTCCGCCTCTCCTTGTGAGTGATGTGTCGAGGTCTCTGCGTACCTGTGGATGGTGGTGTGACGCCCTTGTCGCCCTTGACGCCTGCCCTTGTGGTGATGTCAGCTCGCAGATCGACATGAGCGAAAACGCCGGTGAGGACCTTTCCTGTAGTTAGCTGAATAGAGGATCTGCTGGGCGGTAAGTCCCAGAGTAAGAGTGCTTTTACCTTAGTAAGCCCGATGGACTGGCCAGTCAGTCAAAGTTGTTTCTGTCCATGTATGGCATCATGAAGGGTGGTCAACACAGATCTCACTTCGGTGATGGCTGATAAGTTCGTGTCTCCTCAGAATGCTTTCCTTCTCTTTCCTTATCTTCTCCTCTTCCACCTCTCTCTCTCCGTTACACAGCAATCTACCCTAGCTTACAAGCTCGCAGTGGTTCGTCTTGCCAAGCTGGCAATCCTGACACGACATCGCCGCATTACCTCACTTGCCGAGCGTGTCCCCTTGCCGGTTGAAGCCGATCTTTGGCTTCGGACGCACGTGAAACGAACGAGGAGCTGACCGTTGGTGTGTCGTTTCCTCCAGGCCTCCAATCCTGTCGGATTGTGTTATCTTTCTGCTGGACCATCCCTGCCGACTCTTGTGTCATCTTTCTGCTGGACCATCCCTGCCGACTCACGAGTGCAGCGCTCCATGACCTTTACGCTCGCTGTTGGTGCTCCCCTCTCTCAGATCTTCAGAAGCGGCATGATGATTTCGGCATCGTCTCTGCTGCTTGCGTGCTTCCTGATGGTCCAGATGGCCACCGGCTCTTTGGTTGCTTTTCATACTCATCGAGCCCATGCGGCAAAGGCGCAGGCTAGGGCGATGCCTGGGTGGGCACGGCGGCGATCTCGGCTCTCTTCTCACATGAGGATGAGTCAAGAGGGTGAGTGAGCGACCAAGGGGGAAGAGCAGACGAGCGGCATTGCCCCTCACACACCGCTGTGTGTTGTCTGCGCATGTGTGTGTCAAATGCAGGTAGGCTGCGTGTGACGCCTGACGGCTTGGTGCCCCTCAAAGACCTCAACGAGCTGTCGCTCAGAGAACAGTCGCTCAGAGAACAGTCACCGTCGCCGTCGTCGGAGGAGCTCGTGCCTTCCATCAATCTCGTTAGCATCGATCCCGCTTACTTCATTGGTGACAAGGATCTCAGCGAAGTGGTCAGCGACATCATGCGGTGGTACAAGGATTCCGACAGCTCTCTTGGGTCATCAGATCGGATTCCACTCATGTCGTAAGCACTCAAAAGTGCCAAAACACACACACACACACACACATGCACACACGCCTCTTCTCTCTCCTGTTGCAATGCTGCATGTGCTTGCAGTCTTACCCGCCACCCCCGCGGAGGCAAGACCCGGTTTCTGAAGGAGATTGGGCGCCGGCTCCGCGACAAGGAGAAAGTGCCCTCCATCAGAATCACTTTCAACGATCGGACTTCGTACCAGAGAGTGGAGAAGACCCTATCGCTGGAACAGCGGCTGCTCAAGCGAATCGGCTGGTCGGTGGCCACCGATGAGACGCGCCGTCTTGTGGGCAACGACTTCGAGCGATGGATGGAGACGGTGGACGTGCCGGACAAGACGATAAAGGAGTGGCTGGGTGACGGCGGCTGTGTGCTCCTCATCGATGAGATGAACAGTAAGTGGGTGGGTGACACCATG